GGAGGCCGCTGGGCGGGCCCCGGCCACTCCGCAGCCCTCCCTCCCCTCGTCCCCATTCTGAATTCTGGGCACGCACACACATGGACCAGACGTGGTTTTCTTTTCTTTCTTACTTTCTTTTTTCTTTTTTTAGAGAGATTTTTGCTATAGGGCATATGCGCTCGCCCGAGAGACAGAGAGACAAAAAGCACCATATCACCCCAGGGGATGGCCACGCTGCAATCCCTTCTTCTCCATTCTTTCGGGATCTTGGGCACGCACACACGCCCAGCCTGAGTTTTAAGCACTGGGTATGGGACTTGAACCGCTGTCAGCTAGGTGGGAGTCCAATGACTATCTGCTGGTCCCGTCAGGTTTGATTTTCAGGCTGCTGGGTTCAGGACTCAGACTGTGGCCAGGCGTGTGGGAGTCCAGTTCCTTAACCACACCACCTCCAGCCCCTGCCCGGAGTGCTTGCTCTTTAACAGAAAAGGCCAGAGCGCCCACGTGCCCCTGCACCTGGGCTGCAGGAGAGCCCTTACCTGTCTGCCTGTCTGTACCCTTACCAGCGCCCTGTCAGCTCCTCCATCTCCAGGTCGCAGCTAGAGCGGGTGGCCTTAGAGCAAGCTGCCACGTGACTCCCTGGCCCGGAGCCCCAGAACCTCTCCAGGGCTCGTGTAAGGCCCAGCGTGCGCCCCTCCCTCTCACAGCGGTCTGCACGTCTTCCCTCGTAGACGGGGGTCCAAGCTCCACGGCCTCGTTCACGTCTTCAGACGACCAGGGTGCACGCGGCTTTATGCATGCTGCCCTCCGCCTGGCCGTCTGCTCGTTCCCTGCCCCGCTGGCCTCCTTTGGGCTAGCCCAAGCGTCCTTCCCAGGCTAAGCGTACACATTCCTCTCATCATGCTGGGGCTTCCCAGAGAGAGACAGGGAGAGTGACGAAGCTCTCCTGTGGGCCGCGGCCACACCACCCAGGCCTTCCCCACCTCTGTGCTGTGGAGACTTTGGAGGCGTGTTTCCCAAGCCACCAGGTCCAGAACTTGAACCGTGGGGTCAGCCATGTGGGCGTCGGCTGCCTCCACCAGCACGCCCCGGAGGCAGTCCCTCTGTTGTGATTTCCTAATCGTTTTTCTCCCCCTCCCTCACGTTTCAAATGGGCAAGAATTGGGGCGTTTACGTCCTGGGTCCTGGTCCGCAGCATGGCGCTTTGTGCTTTGTGGAATGAATGAGCGAAACCGACAGTGGGGCAGGCAGAGGTGGGTACTGTACCTAGGGGTACTCAGAGTGCGATTTGCAAAACGTCGAGCTCCAGAAGCTCCCCGAGCATCGTTTTTCTCCTTGAAAGCTTTTTGTGCCATAGGGCGCATGCGCTTTCCAAAGAGCGAGAAGGAAAGTGAGACCCCCTCTCCCAGGGGAACGGCCATGCTGCAGCCCCCTCAGGATTTGGGCATGCGCGTGCACACCGCAGCGATGCTCACACTGCCGGGTCCAGGCCTCGAATCGTGCAGCTGGCCTCGTTCTAGCATCTCCACCGCCACACCTCCGGCTGGCCTTGCCCCTGGTGTCTTCACTGATGGCTTCAAGAGCAGGACCAGGGCTAAAGCTTGGGCTGTACTAGTACCTCCTGCTGGAGAGCGACGGAGGGCTCGGGCCAACCGGGTGGTGCTGCCGACTTTAAAGGCAGACCGAGTACGCCGTCGACTCGTCCTCAGGTTGACAGGAGCTGCAGTTCACCCATCCGTCAGATAAAAAGCCCAGACAATGCGCCGTGCGTCCCACCAGCCTGGGAAAGTGGGGTAGGGTCCTAGTTCCCAGCGCGGCAGCAGAGACATGGCCACGAGCCACTGCTCAGGCCTCCGCAGGGCCCTCTGCTGGGAGTCTGTCCGGAGGGCAGGCTGGTGCAGGGGGTGGCTCAGAGATGGACTGGGCGCACCGGTGCAGGAGGGGATCCCCCGGTCTGACGTAGGGGAGGCGGGGAGGGCTGGTGCAGCGCAGGCTCTGGGGTGAAGTGGCTTGGTATGTTCGAGAGGCAGGGGCCTGGCAGGCTCAGGGTGTGTAGGGACAGGGCATGTAACAGTGACCAGTGACCCTGGGAGCGCAGTCACCCGGACCTAAGAGACGCCTGGCAGTCTGACGGCTGGGAGAGGAGAGTCTGGAAGACTCGGTAGGAAGCTAGTGCTGTCCAGGGAGGCCTGTTCGCTCAGTTCCCAGAGTTCAAAAGATTGTGCTTCGGGGGCCAGCAGGTGGCATGGTGATTAAAGGTGGTGGACTTCCACATGGCCAACCGTGGTTCAAGTCCCAGACCTGGCAGCTTGCTTTCTCACTTTCTCTCTCTCTCTGTCCCTCTCTGGTCAAATTAAAATAAATAAATACATAAAGTTTTTTTTTTTTTTTTTAAAGATTGTGCTACATAGCCGTTAACACAATACTCATTTCATAATTCACTGGGCTAAAAAACCTAACATTACCTACAGCTGTTACAAGGAGCTGGGGTCCTTTGTTCTGAGCTTGATTTTTTTTTTTTTTAAGAGAGATTTTTGCTATGGGATGCATGAAAGAGAGCGAGAGAGAGCAAGAAATCACCCACCAGGAGGGATGGCCACGCCACAATCCCTCCTCCCTTCTCCTCTCAGGATCTTGGGCACGCAGGTGCAGGTGCCCAGTGAGTTGTAAGCTGCCGGGTCCAGGACTTGATTGGCTGACTACGAGGGAGTCCAGTGACATAACCATTACATCATCTGCTAGTCCCAGAACGTAGTCTGTAAATGCTTGGGTCCATAAATGATTCCATAGCAGCGATTGACCACCTAGTCGCGAGTTGACTGTAGCATGCGGAGGGAATTTCTCCCTTAGCCCAGACTGCCTAGTGATGACCAGCGTTTGCTTCGTTTTAACTTCTGATTTACCTTTTCCTTCAAAGTTGGTTTCTCTCTCTCCCTGGGGAGTGCTTGCACCCTCTCACAATGAAAACACATTAAGAAGAAAAATCCATTTCAGAAAGGCTGCTTGACCCTCCTGACTTTAAGTTTCCCCCAGAACCCCACTGTGTGCAGCTGTGCTGTTTATACTAATCAGATTTCTTCTGCGATTTCTGTAGGTTGTTTTGTCTGTAGAGTGGGACAGCCCTGCCCTTCAAGGCTTTTGTGAGGACAGAAGTGGTACAGGGCAGTGTCAGGCTCCTTTTCCCTGGTAGGTTGTGAGCCTCAGGATGGCTGGTAGGGCACAGATTCCCCAACACTGTAAGGTGGCCTAATGGTTATGTTGCCGGACTCCCATGCAGTTCGTGTCCCAGACCTGGCGGCTTAAAACTCTTGCTGGGTGCATGTGTGTTTATGCCTAAAATCCTGAGAACAGAGAAGGGATTGTCGTGTGGCCATCCCTCCTGGGAATGATTTCTTGCTGTCTGTCTCTGACTCTCTAGTGAGCATGCATCCTGTATCAAAAAAATCTCTCTTACAAAAAAATTACAAGGGGGACCAGCAGTTGGTGTAATGGCTATGTCGCTGAACTCCCATGAGGTTGACCACGGTTCAGGTCCCAGACCAGGTGGCTTAAACTCATGCTGGGCGCATGTGCGTGCATGCCCAAGATCCCGAGAGGAGAATGGAGGAGAAGGGATTGCGGCGTGCTATCCCCCCTGGGGAGGGTGATTTCTCGCTTTCTGTCTCTGTGTCTCTCTCTGTCTT